CAGGCTGATCCCAGGGCCAATCCCAGGCTGATCCCGAGGCCGATCCCTGGGCCGATCCTGGGGCCAATCCCAGGCCTTCCAACCCAGGAGGTCCCGATGAACAGGAGCGATGCAAAGCCTCGGCCAGGAATCCTGGCCAAAGAGGGCCAAATCCTCAGGGAGGAGCTTCTTCAAAGCCGTATTTCATTGGAAAATTAAATAAGTTTCTGAGTGGTGAATCCTCCAGGAGGAGCTTCTTAAATGCCATTATTTCATTGGGAAATTAAATAAGTTTCTGAGTGTTGAATTCTCCAGGAGGAGCTTCTTAAAAGCCATATTTGAAAATTGAGATGAGTTTGTAAGTGTCGAGTTCTCAAGGATGAGCTTCCTGGTTTTTTAAAGCCATATTTAATTGGAAAATTTAGATGATTTTTAAGTGTTGAATTCTCCAAGATAAGTTTTTAAAAGCCATCTTTAATTGGAAAATTGAGAGAAGTTTCTAAGTGTTGAATTCTTATTAATATTTTTTAAAAGCCATCTTTCATTGGAAAATTTAGATAATTTTTAAGCATTGAATTCTCAAAGAGAAGCTTCTTAAAAGCCATTATTTAATTAGGAAATTGAGGTGGGTTTGTAAGTGTTGAGTTCTCCAGGATGAGCTTCCTATTTTTTAAAAGTCATATTTAATTGGAAAATTAAACAAGATTCTAAGTGTTGAATTCTCCAGGAGAAGTTTTTAAAAGCCATCTTTAATTGGAAAATTGAGGGAAGTTTCTAAGTGTTGAATTCTCAAGGAGAAGCTTCTTAAAAGCCATTATTTCACTGGAAAATTAAATAAGTTTCTGAGTGTTGAATCCTTATCCATATTTTTAAAAGCCATCTTTAATTGGAAAATTTAGATAGTTTTTAAGTGTTGAACTCTCCAGGATAAGTTTTTAAAAGCCACCTTTAATTTGAAAATTGAGAGAAGTTTCTGAGTGTTGAATTCTTAAGGATCCAATGGGATTTGAGCTCCCAACCCCTTCACCCCCAAACTCTGGTGGAATTTGAGCTCCCAAACCCCTCACAGCCAAAATTCAGTGGAATTTGAGCTTCCAAACCCCCCAAACCCAAATTCCAGTGGGATTTGAGCTCCCAACCCCCCTCACTCCCAAAATCCAGTGGAATTTGAGTTCCTAAACCCATTCAGTGGAATTTGAGCTCCCTAAACCCCCCAGACCCAAAATCCAGTGGGATTTGAGTTCCCAAACCCCCAGACCCAAAATCCAGTGGGATTTCAGCTCCCAAAGCCATTCAGTGGAATCTGGACTCCTAAACCCTTCAAACCCAAAATCCAGTGGGATTTCAGCTCCCAAACCCCTCACACCCAAAATCCAGTGGAATTTGAGCTTCCAAACCCCCCAGACCCAAAATCCAGTGGGATTTGAACTCCCAAAGCCCCCAGACACAAAATCCAGTGGGATTTCAACTCCCAAAGCCATTCAGTGGAATCTGGGCTCCTAAACCCTTCAAACCCAAAATCCAGTGGGATTTCAGCTCCCAAACCCCTCATACCCAAAATCCAGTGGGATTTGTCCTCCCTACCCCCCTAGACCCAAAATCCAGTGGGATTTGACCTCCCAACCCCCCCTCCCAATTCACAGCTTCCCAAATCCCGCCGCCGCCTCCCTTCCCTCCGAAGCTCCCCCCGGCTTTGCCCCCCGATGGAAACCCCCAATTCCAGGGGCAGAATTCCCAGGATCACCCCTTGGTGGGGGTGATTTCCCTCTCCAATCCCCCCCTCGGGAACTCCCCGCGCTCCCTTTTCCCGTTTTCCAGCTGCTTTTCCCGGGGTGGAAAAAGGGGAATTCCGGTGTCCCCCCGGAGCTCTCCGGGTTTCCCGGGCGGCTTTTTCCTGACAAATTCCTTGTTTTTCCCTGCTCCCAGAAGTGCCTGAGCCGGGGGGAGCTGCAGGTGTCCCTGTCCTACCAGCCCGTGGCGCAGAGGATGACCGTGGTGGTGCTGAAGGCCCGGCACCTGCCAAAGATGGACATCACCGGCCTCTCAGGTAGAAGCTATTTTCTCCAGCTTGGAATTTTTCTTGGGAAAAACCCCCCTGCCCACTAATTCCCAACCTCCAGGTTCGCCGTGTTCCTGTTTGAGCTGTGGGAATTCCCGGGTTTGCCTCCCGAACTCCTCGCGGGGGATACGGAGCGTTCCCACTGGTTCCTTACGGGAGATTTGAGAAGGAAAATCACTTTTAAGGAGAATCCCAGGATCCCAGAGAGGTTTGAGTTGGAAGATCGTCTTGTTCCAACCCAAAATCCAGTGGGATTTGAGCTCCTAAACCTCCCAAACCCCAAATCCAGTGGGATTTGGGCTCCCAAACCTCCCCAGTCCCAGTGGGATTTGAGCTCCTAAACCCCTCACACCCCAAATCCAATGGGATTTGAGCTCCTAAATCCCTCACTCCCAAAATTCAGTGGGTTTGGAGCTCAGAAAACACCCAGTCCCAAAATCCAGTGGGATTTGAGCTCCCAAACCCCCCAGTCCCGAAATCCAGTGGATTTAAGGTCCTAAATCCCCCAGTCCCAAAATCCAGTGGGACTGGAGCTCCCAAACCCCTCACACCCAAAATCCAGTGGGATTTGAGCTCCCAACCTCCCCAGATCCAAAAACCAGTGGGATTTGAGCTCCCAAACCCCCCAGACTCAAAATCCAGTGGGATTTGAGCTCCCAACCCCCCCAGACTGAAAATCCATTGGGATTTGAGCTCCCAACCCCTCCCAGACCCAAAATCCAGTGGGATTTGAGCTCCCAACCCCCCCATCCCAAAATCCCTAGCCAGGGGAGTTGCCCCTGAATCCTCTCCCTGTGCTGGGAGAACAAAGGGTTGGAGATTCCCGGGTTGGTTTGGGAAGGCAGGGTTTTCCAAAGGGCAGCAGCTCCCTCCAGGGTGGATCCAGGACGGGCTGGATCCGTGGGATGAGAGTGTGGGATCCACGGGCTGGAGCATGAGGATTCCATGGGATCCTGGCATTGCTGGATCAGGGCTGGGGTGGCCCAGCAGGAGCAGGGAAGGGATTCCTGGCACCATCCCATGGGATCCTGGCATTCCTGGATCAGGGATGGAAGGGCATTCCTGGCACCATTCTATGGGATCCTGGCATTGCTGGGATGGCCCAGCAGGCGCAGGGAAGAGATTCGTGACACCATCCCATGGGATCCTGGCATTGCTGGATCAGGGCTGGGGT